TCTCTCCCAGCTCTAGGTATCTGTTGCTTGCTGCAGCTGACTAGAGAGTTTGTGCAGTGCCTTTTATCTAGTCCTTGCCAGATAGCTTGGAAAATATGATCTCTTCTCCTGTGCTTGTGCATGCTTGTGCTTTTCTGCTGCAGAAGCAGTTTCCTTTCCAGTGCAAGCTTGCTTTGGAGCCATTAGCATTGACAAACTCAGAATTATTGACAGACCCCAAACAATCACGGCTGCCAGCTATTTAGGAGGGGCAGAGTTCTCTCCCAATAAAATTGATGACAATAATAACTTCCTTTTGAAATAAGTGCCTCCTTGCAGTTGCCACATTGCTTCCCATACCAGGAGCTGGCAGCATTGTGCCCAAGCTGAGCTGTCTTAAAGGGCAGACTACTGTGATACTCAGGTTGTGCCCCCCTGCTCTGGTGGCACCTCTTCCTGGGGGTGGCATTTGTCTCTGCTGCTTCTGCACTCCAGCTGCCACCTTCCTGCATACAGCATTAGCTGCCCTTTGTGCAGAAAGGCTCCTCCCAGCCTTTTTTTGGGTCTGACTTTGGAGCTTTAATGACTATTCCCCCTCGATAGAGCCATGTGTCCTCAAGCAGTCTGAATACATGGTGATGCATTTGGGAGCCCTTTCCAAACAGCTCCTGTCTTTTGCCCAGCTTAGAGAGGGAAGCATGGATGGATACGGGCAAGCTGATCTTAGATGCCTTTCCCTGGGACAAGGAGCAACTTGAAGTGAGTGGTGAAGAAACTGTCTGATGGTGCTTGGGAGTTCCTTCTTATCTATTTAGTGTCCCCTGACCCCAGCTGGAGTGACAGCCCAGCAGCATGAGGCGGAGATTAATGCTTGCTAAAACTGCTTGTGTTGCACAACACAGTGCTGCATCAGAGCCTGGAGCCAGCTGCAGATGAGCTAATAAGTTTATATTGGGCAGAAGCTGTATTTTACTTCTTCAAAGCTGTGTGGTCAGCTGAGCAGCAGGGCTGGACACAGGGCTGCAGTGGTGCCGGGGAACTCACCTACAGGCCCATCCACAAACCCTGCTGCACGGCTTTGGGCACTGCTCAAACGTGTCACACAGGTGCCACCTGGTGAAGGAAGGTGGTGCCTCTGTTACTGGCAGTGCACCTCTCATACCCAGCCTGGGAGGTGTCTGAAGGTGTCTTCAGATGCCCAGTGCCATCTAATCCACCTAATGAAAGCAAAGACCACTCCATTTATTTTAAATAGGCATTCAAAATTCAAATTCATTCAGCAGCTTTCTAAACCTTGGTGAGCAGAGACTCGTGACAAAGCAATGTGATGCTATATAAAGGCCTTTTGAAGATTTTTCTTACAGTGTCTGCTCGGGGAAGACAACCTCTTGGCAGCAGCTGCCTGTAGCTTATCCATCCTGGCTGGAGTCCTTTGTCCTGCTTCTTGGCCTTGCGGTAGACAAGCATCCCTAAGAGATGGAGCCTGCCTCCTCAGGGCCAGTAGTTCTCCTCTTGTCCTGTAATGACCCTCCTGTGTGGGATGGTAGTGTCTTATCTGCAGCCATTGTTTTGTCTTCCTGTCTCTTTCCCAATGGCTTTGTTGATTTAACACATTATATAGACAGCAGTGCACAGTACCATTAATGGTGCTGGCTCGACATGCTGGACCAGCTGCACTCCTGCGGGGCTTGGCTCAGTCTCTTGGCCTTGGCCCTGCTCTGGGAAACCTGGATGGTGGCTCACTGCAGTGGCTCAGGTGGTCTCTTGCTGTTTGCCCAGCCCTTGGTGCACCAGGAGCCCAGATCTCCTTTAACTGGGCTGGGCTGCCCTGGTAATGCTTCTCTCCTTCCCCTGCTTTTAAAATCCATCCTTTGTCCTTGTGTGTGTCACCCCTGGAGCAAAAGCATCTTCTCTCACAAGGCTTGTGAACTTGCATCTTTCCCTCTCACTGATAATGAAGCAAACTCCATGATGGAACCTAGTGATTTTAGGTTTATGGATGCACCCCTGAGGCTTCCCAGAGAGTGTCCATTTTCCATTCTGTGTGAGGGTCAGAGGTGGCAGTGGGGTAGAGGAAGAAGAATGCTCCTTCTAGATCCAGCTTCTGATTCCCTCTCCTTTCTGCCTCTTTGGATATCAGAGGAAGAGAGTCATCACTGATCCCATGCCAAATATTTCACTTAGTATGACACAGTGTTTGTTGGCTGTTTAGACCCACAATTATACATGTTTCTCATGGTGCTCCTCTGAGCACATCGGCCTGGCAACAACTCTGAGCCAACAGAGCTGGCTCCTGCCTACAGCACCCCCTCCCTGAACCCGTGGGGTCGTGCATTGCCTTGGGGATCCCCTCTCCCGACTCATGCCAGGACAGAGGAAGGCTTGCAGGGGAGCACCCCGGCACTGGACTCCTTGCCCTGTGCCCTGAGCTGATTGCAGAGGTGGGGCGCCCTGCCCTGCTGGCAGCACACTGTGGTGCTTGCAAAGAGCTGCTCTGGGGGGAAGGAGACAATGTGCTGCTTTTGGCTGCTGGGCCTGCTGTCTCCTCAGCATTATCTCTTCTTTGCCTCTCTTGGTCTCTGTATTTGGCTGCCTGAAAGTGAGTGCTGGCAGAGTTAGGTGGAGTGGGTTAAGTGGGAGTTCAGGGTGAAGGAGAGGTGGGCAAACCCTACCCTGCAGCCAACATGTAAACCACACCATCTGTGCAGCTGAGGTTCCAGTGGGGTGCCCTTTCCCCTCAACCGGGGCTCCAGCTGGGCAAATGCTGCCAGCTGCCAGGCTGGTTTCCAAGTGGTGGATGCATGTGCCTGGTGAGGAGAGGCTGCTGGGATGTCATGATAGGGGGAGAGCTGTGGGATAGTGGCAGAGGGAAAGATGCATCATTTAAAAGGAAAACCAGATATTCCATTGTCCTAGGGGCTGCTGGTGGAGGCACAGGGTCCGAGATAGGGCTCTTAGTCCTTGCTGGAGATGTGAGGCTGTCCCTGTGAGAACATCTTCTGGGGTGGGATCCCACCACTGCCATGCAGGCATGGGCCTCTGGGAACCACGCTGGCAGATGGTGGCACTTGTAAAGGACTGGCCCTTGCAGTGACTCTGCTTTGGTGCTGACAGTGGCTGACATCCCAGCAGTATTGGAGAGAAATGCTTGAGCTGTATTTAGCAGGACTAGGGTATTTTTGTTTCTTTTTTTCCTTTCCCTTGACCATGTGTGAGCCTTCAACTGATTTTGCAACTAGTGCTACATAGCAGAAGGATTGTGTAATTAACGGGAACTGGTGCAGCCCTGTCTCTCTGGGACTCCAGCCCTCCTTCCCACAGGGACAGAGGCAGACCCACTCTCTCTCACAGCATTTCACCTTCTCTGCCTTCCCTGCTGCTGGGAAGAGCTTTGGGGAACTCCAGTGCCACACAACGTGCTCCTGGCTGCTCCAGTTCCTCTGCTGGGCTGGTGTTTTGCTGCAGAGATTTATGGTGGTTCTCCCAGCTTAAACTGTGCCAAAAAATAACAGATGAATTAATTCTTCTTTTTTTTTTCTTCCTGTGTCCACTGTACTCCTACCCACTTCCTGGTGGGAGCAGGGGGTTTGTTTCTGTGAAAGGATCCAAGCAGCTGTGGGACTGATGCTGACCTTGCTGCTGCTGGACACATGGTGTGACTCACAGTGATGCACGTGGCAGTGAGGGGCAGGAGAGGAGAGGGGCCCAAGGTGCCTCTGCACTCCAAGGCAGTGGTGTGGGGCCTCTCCTGCACTGCTCTTCCTCTGTGGGCATGTCCTTTGTGCTTTTGATTTTAAATGCTCCCTGCCCCACACAGATGGGGATGGTGACTCTGTCCATTCCCCTTCTTGCAAGCTGTGGGTCCTGCCCTGCTATCTTCCCCCTGTGGTCCTGCAGGACCCCGCTGATGCTGGAGGAAGGATGAGTTTTCTTGCCATATTTAATATCTTTCTCAAAGATGAAAGCCAGGAGAAGGGCAGGAAGCCTTCTCCAGAGGTCGAGTGGCCCAGCCACCATGAAATATTTTTCCAGGCAGAGTTCAGTACCAGGAATTTCTCTCCCTGGGAGCAACACAGAGCTCAGCCTGCTCCCTGTTGCAGTTAAGGACCCCCTTCCTCACTGCCTCACTTCTGGTGTTTCCAAATTATCTTAGCACCTTAGACCAGTAAGAGCTAATGTCGTGACCTCTCCCCAGTCCTGCATTTCATCATTCAAGCATGGTTTCTGTCAGCCCTGTTCATTGAAAGCCCCATCTCTGAGAGGCAGCCAGTCCTGGAACTGGGGTGGAAGTCTGCCAAGTGCTTTCAAGACAAGGAGCTCATGCTGGCATCCTCCGGGAGTCAAACCCAGCATGGAGCCAAGGCTGTCTTGCTGGGGGAATTAACAGCTTTTCCTCTGCCCATTTACACAGAGACCTTCACCTCCCATAGGTAGCAGTGTGCTGGTACCTCCGGGAGGCTCCTGCCTTCTGCTGGTGACTGCATCCTTCCTTGCCCCTCCTCGGCTCCCTGAGGATTGCCTGGCATCTCTGCCTGAATGAGGAATGCTTGCAGTGATTTCATTCAAGCCCCAGCTGCTGCTGAGCTACATCTCTGCCTGCCAGGGCTCCTTCAAGCTCCTCCTTGCCTGGCTCGGACCATGGGAGTCACTGGCAGGTTTGGGCTGATTCTCTCCAAAACGAAAACCCTGTAGGTGCACACTTCATTTCAACTCTGGCCAATTGTGGTGAAGTCAGTGTTCACATGCTTAAACCTAATTACTCCTGCAAGCACTTGCAGGACTGGGACAAGCTTTTTTTTAGCAAGAGAACTTTTGTGGTGGATCTCTTGCATCTTCTCACTGAATTTAGAAAGAAAAATATGCAGTGTGATATCATCTGAGCAGCCCACAGAGTGAGGACAGCATCAATGTCTGCGCTTTGTGGATTTTGTTGTTCATAATCACTTAGGTGATGCTTACTAAATACCTGCAGGGGAAAAAAACCCAAGCTGTTTTGAAATGAAGAGACAGTGGAAGGGAGGGCAGGTACTTCCTTTTTTATTGAGATTTCTTGGTGTATTTCATGGGCAACTTCCCAATTTCAGCTTACCAGGAGTCAAGAAACATTGCTGCAGGAGAGATCGAAAGGAAAGGTGTAAATTAGATGAGAGGGACTGAAAGCAGAAGGCAGGTGAGGGTCTCAGCAGAGTGATTCCATCATAACTGCTCCCATTTTGCAGACAGACAGAGGAATATTCCCACTTTCCTTGGGGAACACGGGCAGGCCATGCCATGAGCACCATGATGTTCAAGTATAAGGCAGGGCTGGAACTTGCTAGGTGCAAGTCCAGGCACCTGTTGGTTTGGCACAGTAGAAGTTCTCTTTTCACCCAAAAAGCACACATGGACCAGGAGATGCAGTTTAGGCAGAAGGACGTGCTGTTTTTTCCTGCCATGAGGAGGCAGCATGAAGAACAACCATCTGAATGTGTGGCAGATGGGCATTTTGTTTTAGCAGGTGACAATCTTAGTCCTTCATCAAATGCTCTTGCACGTCTTTTATCTCCTGAAATATCAGTGTTTCATGGAGACAAGCCAGATTGAGCTGAATTTTTTTTGCCTCTTGCCCGATTTGATGGCTGGGAAAACTGAGGCACGGGTGACTTGGTGACTTGGTGAGGGGCAATGTTTGAGAGCAGAAGCAGGGTGTAGGCTGCTTGCCTGCCTGAGGCTGCAGCTCTGTGGCTTCCCCCAAATTCTTGCTGCTATCTCCATCCCAGGAGAACGTTTTCCTCTGGTGTGGCATTTCCCAGTGCTAAGCCCCTTTCGTGTTAATGTGACTCTTGGCTCACCTTCGGACGTGCAGGGACTGTGTGGAGGCGAGACCTTCACGCAAGACTTCTGCTGTGAATGGAGCAGGAGTGATTTACAGCCCGTCGAGAGCAAGTTGCCGACCTGGATGTCTGCTCCCTAGGTGCTTTGTGTAATCAGAAAAACAGTGGTAAAGGTGCGAAAAAACAGAAGGGGAAAAAAAAGAAAAAGAAGAAAGGGCGGGGGAGAGGAGGGGGCTGGAGAAGATGAAGGAGGGAGAGCGGAGTTAAAGGCAGGAGAGAATCCCCTGTCAGGGGAGCGGGGAGCGCCGGGCTTTGTGCTGCGCCCCCAGAGATTCTCCCGTGGCGCTTCCACGAGGCGGAGGGGGAGGAGGAGGTAGAGAGGTGGAGGAGGCAAGCCGGGGGTGTGGAGCAGGGGGGGCGAGCAGAAACAAAAGGAAACCAGCTGCAGAACTTCCTGGAGGCGGCGAGGGGCCGCGGAGCGCGCAGTGCCGGCGGCTCTGCGGCTCCTGCTGCGCGGGGCGGGGAGGGGAGGGGGCGGCAGCGGGACCCTGCCCGCCGTGCGCCGCCACCATGACCAGCGCGATCCTCCGGCGCAACTCCAGCAAGCAGGGCCTGCAGAACCTAATCAGGTGAGCGCACACCTGCCCGGGCACCCGCTCCGGCTCCCGCGGGATGTGCCCAGGGGCGCGGTGGGGAAAGGGAGCGTCCTCCACACCGACCATCCTCGGGTCCCTTTAGATCGGCAGATCGGCGGGATTTCCTCCTTACCCTGGTTTTACAGCAGACCCCATGCATTGGAAGGAAGGATAATAGATAACCCTCCCTCTCCTCCCCTAAAGCTGTATGAGAAAAGCAGATTTGAACTTACTGATGGCTTTTCCAGGAGCTCCCGACTGAAATAACTGAGCACAACTGTACTGTGACACTCACCTGAGCCGCCGCTTCCCCTCTCCCTGCGAGGCATGTCTCAGTACGTGGCTTTTTGTGTCTCCCGAGTGCTGAACGCTTCTGCCTAGAAAAAGGGTTTTCCTTTTTTCCCCGCAGGAACTGTACGCTGTGCACGCTGTGATGCTCGTTTTTAATTCAGAGATCAGTACAGGGCTGGATCCTCCCAGGGCTGCGAGCTGACACCGCTCTTTTTTCGATTTAATTGATCACAATAGTGCTTTGAACCTTTCTCTCGGAGTATAATTGCCAGGGCAGGGAGGTGGATGGCTCACTTGGGCTTTTCCCGTTTGTCAGCGGCGCTGAGCCCGGGAGGACGGCTACATTGTCTGCTGGCTTTGAGATTCCCTGCCATGCGGTCACTGTGCTCTTCCCCGGGGGCTGGAATCGCTGCTTCCCTCCGTGGGTCTCTGGGATCCACCTCTGGATGATGGTGGTGTGCCGCTCTGATGGCCCTGACTGGGCTGAAGAGAGGCAATTCCCACCTTTTCACGTTTAGCTGGGCAGATGGATGGGTGAGAGGTGGGATCAGGCAGTGCTGGACTCACATTCTGTGTCTTGGGTGCCTCTTGGCTCCCTTGTGCTCACTGTGAGCGTTGGTCTCCCTCTGGGAGGTGGAGGATGTCACGGTGGGGTGTATTTCACCTGGCATTCTCCAGTCAGTTTGGGATCTCCTCGACTGGCAATGATGCCTCTAATCCTCATCTCCCATTAAGTTTCTTGCCTTGGAAGGTAAATGGGCACCTACAGCCCACCCAGTCCCGGCCACTTCCTGCCCTTCTGGACCCAGGGAAGTTGGCAGGGAAGCTCCCACTGGTTGCACAGGCCCCTGGGGTGGAAAATGGGCAGGAGAAGCTGACTTCTCTAGGTTCATCTTTTGTTTGGCCTGTTGGACCCATTCCCTGGTCTCAGCCCAGGGGATGGGATCTGAGTTACACACCCCTGGTTTCAGAGCAGGGCTTTGTCACCAGCTTGCGAGGGGTAGGGAAACCTCTGGGGTGTGCAAAAGCAGGGATGGGCTCAGATTTGGGGCCAGCTGATACTGAGGAGGGCCAGGGAAATGAACTGGGGTGGGGATCGCCTGCTTACAGCTGGGTAGCAATTTATTGTGCAGGGTGACAGATGGGGGGGAGCAAGGGGAAGCACATGTGTTTCATTCAGAGAAAAGGGGTGTCCAAAGGACTGTCCTCAGCACAGCCTAAACCAGGGGTGTTTTCCTGTGCTGAGTGACATTTCCAAGTTCCTCCTGCTTTGGATAAGGGACTTTTGGTGTCCCAGAGACTCACAGGGACTTTTTTACAAGGTGACATGTTTCCTGAGTAGGGTTATTACACTTAATTGATTGAGGTTTAGCTTTGTGGCTGTGTTTCCCAGTCCTGCTTACAGATGAGGCGTGGAGTGGGTTGTGAGGGATTTCCATGGTTTGCACACAAAAAGCCTCACTTATGCTCACAGGATTCAGCAGTGGAGCAGGCAGGGTCTGCTCCATACACACCATAGCCCATTTTGCAGCTGTATTTTTCTCCTGGAGCAGTTTCTCCTGGAGTTCCAGAGATCAGCTGTGGGGCTGGCTCTGCAAGTCCTGCCCGCTTGGCTGCAGGAAGGAAGGAGCTCCTTTAGTGAATGGCTGGAGGCTCCTGCCTTGAAGATATGTTGCTGTCAAGATTGCTGTGCTCTGCTTTTTTCTGTCCCTAGGTGACTGCAGCAGAGTGGTTACACTGTGTAGTGCTGGGCTCCTCTGGGGTGTCCGAGTGCTTTGGAGAGCTGGAGCACACAGTGAGAACAGCAGCTCAGAGCCATAGCCACGAGCCCTGGGGGGATCGCTGTGGTGTCAGGATTTACCTGGCTGCTCCTGCTGCACGGCAACAGCAGGGATAACCAGGGAATTACCTTCTCTGAGCATTGCTCAGCTGCAGGAGCTGCTGGCCAGCTGCCCAGCAGCTGGGTTAAGGGTTCCTGAGCTGAAACCAGTGTAAGTCTTGTGGATTTGGGTTTGAAGAGCTGAGTCCCAATGCTTTAAGCATCCTGCCTTGTGCTTAAAACAAAACCCCTTTCAGACAAAGGGGCCCATGGGTGAAGCATCACCTGCATATCAGTCCCAGGAGTCAGATTTGCAATAAATGGCTTTTCCACTGACTGCTGACAGGCTTAATGCATGTGGTGCTCTGGTGTGGTTTGGTGTGCTTGGGATCACCAGGACACGTTGGAGACACCTGGAGGCTGAAGCACTGAGCCAGGGCTCAAGGAAACATCTTTCACCTTGCCCAGCCAGGAGGTGGGCTGGAAAAATGAGCCCTCCTTCTTCCTCAGGGGCTCTGCAGAAGGTGCAGGCAGGGATGTTCCATTGACATCTGAAAAGCTGGAGGCTGAAAAGGGCCCAGGGTGAGGCCTTGCAACTGCAGAGTGGCTGAGTAATTGCCTGGGAAAGGTATGAGAAGAATGGGCAATTGCAGGGCTATCTACCTTCCCTGCTTTGGCCCGTGTGCCCAGGCACTCCCCTTGTCCAGCATAGTTTCTCTATCAGGACATCACTGGGGAAATATTTCTCCCTTTGTAGCACGCTTACAGCAATGATCCCTCACACGCCCACAAGGCTTTGTGTTTTTTTAAAGTCCTCTCCAAACATGAGCCACTTTATCTTGTTATCACGATCTCTTTCTCCTTATCCTTCTAATGAATTCCTGTAAATAAGATAGGGATCCAGCACCTGTCATGTCGATTTTGCTTTGTTATCTTCTGTGGAGTCATTAACATCGGAAGCCAGAATGTGAGATCTGAAATGAATCTTGCACAGTGCTGTGTTTTGGCCTGCTGTGTGTGATGAGATGCTTGCCACCTCCAGCACTCATGTCCTGGCACCAATGAGGTGCTGCAGGGCTCTTTCTTTCTCCTTACAACACATTACTGCATTTCCAAGCAATGCTCTTGGTGATGCATAGAGTTCCTCAGCACTATGGTAGCTTTAAAATTCCCTGAACTTGGATTTTGGTGCGTGTCATGAGTGTGATATTTAGTTTGATCAGGATATGGGGGCTCTGCCCAGCTCTGCAGGACGCTTTCCTCTCTGCCTGCATTCGACGTTTCCCAAAGCTTGCCAGGATGTGTCTCAGCAGGGAAGATGCTACTCCAGTATTTTTGTCTTGACCTCCTGAGTGCTGAGCTGGGAACAAGGAGCTGGAAGCACTTGGGAGGGCTGGATGGAGCTTTGAAGGGGAAGAACATTTTTTGTGGGGTGGGGGAGGGAGTGGTCGATGCCAGGACATGGTCTGGGCACAGTTTGTTGCCTGGGAGATAGCTCCTGCCTCCAGGGGCTACTGCAGCACCGCTTTGCTTCGGCTCCCTGGCTCCCAGAGAGGTGTAGGGAGCAAGGAATTCTTGCTGTGGAGAAGTGGGGCAGCTCTGTAGGGGAAGATGAGGAAACTGATCCGTGTAGGAATTAGCCATTAGAGAAATTGTGTGGGAAGAGAAGGGAGAGATACCTGTGTAGGGACACCAGGGGACACAGGGCCTTCATCAGTGTGATTCATGCTTTGCCATGCTGCCTCAATGTGTCATAAGGAGCCTGTGGTGCTTCCCTTCTTGAATCTTCCCTATTTTGGTGTTTTTATTAGTGCCATTCATTTTTTATCCCTCTGTGCCCTATTGGCATGGCCAGGGCAGAACAGATGGGCACCTTTGTGGACCCCACAAGTGGAGGGCAGATGGAAAGGGAGACATGAGTAGAGGCTGCTGGCAGGGAGGAGCATCCAGGAGAGCCCTTTGGGCCTGACTGATGGCATACCTGGGGGATTTGCACATCCCAGGGTGCCTTCGGTGGTGCCAGCTGCTTGCAGGGTGATGCCACCATATTCTGCATCCAGGAGGAGCGTGGGGATTTGCAGCCCAGCTGAGCTGTGGGGCAGGGTGAGGGTAAGGGCTAAGCCAGTGTGTGGTGGGTAGGTCCCTCCCTGGGTGCCTTGTGGGGTGCCCACCCTCAGCTTTCACCCCAAGGATAACAGCTCATCCTTTCTCTCCAGCTGAAGCAGCTCATCTGTCCCCTCTGAGCACTCTGTGGATCCATTCCCAGATTTTTTCCAGCCCTGGGGTTTGTTTTGTCAGAACTCCATCTACCATTGACCTTTCCCAGAAACCAGTGCATGGGTTTTGTTTGCCTTTAGCCTGGCCTGACCCAGATTTTTACCTGCTCTCAAGTAATTGGATGTTCAGGGCCTGAACTTTGAGCCCATGGAAATTTTGGGAAGCTGTAGTGAGCCTTTGAGCCCATCAGGGCTGCAACCACAGGTCATTGGCATCCTCTGATGGTGTGGAGAAGGACCACCATGTGTGTCTGAGCATGGCTCAGCTAGAAGGGGCACTGGTTGGAGAAGCTGAGGCCTGAGACACCAGCTGGGATGGTGTCTAAAATCTAATTTTCAGCTTCCAGATTTTTTTTATTTCTCCTTCTCCCTCCATTTCTAACTCTTCCGATGGAGCATCAAATGGCATCAGGACCATCCCTCAGCTCTGTGCTGGGCAAAGGGCAGCTGGGGCTGCCAAGTGCCTCAGCAAGAAGCTGGGGTGCCATGCCCTCAAACACGGGATTTTGGGATCAGTATTTTGGGGCAAAGACTCTTTTCCTCATGAAGATGCTCTGTCCTGGCGCAGCAGGGAGCGAAGGCTTGCTGCTGCTCTGGTTCCTGCTGCAGCACAGCTCTCAGTGATGGCCATGGAGGAGGAGATCTCAGCTGTTCCAGGGATGGAGCAGCAGCGTTCTCACGGCCTCCAGTCCCTGCTCAGACTGCAAACTGCCTCCTGCTGCTGGGGACAGTGGGGACAGACACCGCCTCGCCCCGGGGCTGCCAAGGGAGGGCCCAGCCAGCTGTGCTATGAAAACACCATGCTGATACAAATCCTGCTCCTAATCCCGGCTTGAAGCAGCAGGGATGAGGCAACTGCTCGCCTTTCTAGGCTCAGACTTGTTCTCCAGCAGGAGTGTGTCAAGAAGGATGCTGGCTGACTGTAGCCGAGGCAGGGAGCCTGTGGAGTCTTGCTTCCCTCTTAAGGAGGAGAAAGATAAAATACAAAAGCAGGGCAAGGCAGTCAGCATCTCTTCAGCAAGTCTGTTTTCTCCTCTGACATGCTTCTCCCTTGCAAAAACAGAGGCCAGACTTCCTGCCCTGTAGAAAAAACCCTCAAATTTCTTGAACCTTCGGGCTGAGATGGAGAGACCGTGAGAAAGGGCCGTGGTTTGAGGTCGTACCCAGCACTGGTTTCTCACACCTACTGAATGCAGTGCAGGGCTGGGAGGGCTCGGGCTCCAGCCCTTTCCTCCCCCGGCCAAATTCCTGGCCGGTGATGCTGATACATGACTGCACCAGCCTATCTGTGTGCTAAGGACCCGCGGTCCTGAGGGTGCAATTCATCATCTTGGAGGCGATTCGTTTGGGTTCTGTCTGCCGTGATTAAAATCAATAATAATAAAAAGAAACAGTTGTTCCCCCTGGTTGCCTGGTGCCTCTGTGAGGGGTTGTGCATCACCTATGCTGTCTGGAAGCATGGAGCATTCCATGCACCTTGTTGGAGCCACAGTCCTCGGAGCAGCAGGAGGG